TAGATAACGTCCAAGATTCAAGGTTTCATAAACACGTTTCTGCCAAGCTTATTACGTTCTTTGATAACAAGGACATCTGGTAATAGTAGTAGGGCATCTTTTTTCTAAACTCTTAGACAGTTAGTAATCCTATCTATTGTATTCACTGGTGTGAATAATTCTAGACCACCTCTGTAAACGCTTCACCTATAAGACTAACTAATAACTTAGTAACTGGGATTTCAGGGAAGAAACGGAGACATTTCTGGATAAAAATAAGTGATTTTAAGAAAGAAACAGCTGTCCGGTCACAACCGCATCCATTGCATATGTCATACACAACTCCATCATGTAAACTTCAAGCATGTATGGAACGCATGAAATAACTAAGCAAATAATAGCATATAAAAGTGGGCGGGTAAGATTAAGCTATGAGGTAGGTACGACTATAGCCTGTCATCAATCTTGGTCTAGCGTTTTTCCAAAGGATTTTTTACTGTGACGATGTCTGACACATGACAGACGAAGACTCAACACATATTCGTCGGGGTCGCGAAATAGTGCATATAAGAATTCACACAAATCAACAGTTACAACTCCCAAGCTCTCTTCCTTGGATTCCTTGGATAAAAATTCGTTTGGAAATATTTAGATCCTCTCTTTAGATCAGGTTATCATAGTCTCGTGTTCAATGTATCACCCATTTGTAGACCTTAATTTAAAAGCTAAGCTGTTTGTAAGCCCAAACTCTTAACTATCTTAAAAATAGCTAATACAGGACTTCAGCTAGAATGATTTAAAACCTAGATTTTCTCATAGTATGAAAATTTTAATTAGGTGGGTGATTGAGGAATAAGTAAAAAGTAAAGTGGCTAAAATCCTACGTAAGAGGATCCAATGAAGGAAATCTATCATTAAATTCCTCTGGTCATTAGATAATGCAAGTTTAGAGGAAAACATCGAGTAAGGGGCTTGGTTAGCCTGGAGTATTATTATGGTCATTGCACCCAAAAAGCACATGCAACTGCACAACAAAAGGCATTAAAATTAAATTGATTGTGGTAAATAGTAGAATACCTATTCAGCAACATTAAATCAGCTTTATGTATTGGCTTAACTCACCTACAAGAGGTTAGAAAGAAACATGAAATGGCTAACTAGATTATGGAAAGATTCTTTAGGATTTTTAAATTAGATTAAGAAATAGATAGCCTATCAGCATTCTTGGCTTTGTGTTTGGAGAATTTTGTTAGATAATGGTTTAATGTTCTGGAGATGTCTGTCTGACAGACGAAGGCTCTGGATCGATTCAATAGGGTCGAAGATTGCTTCGCATACATTAGCAATCAAAATAACAAAATAATCCTTATTCAGCTTCTGACGAGGCTAGTTTGTGAAACTCCTTTATCAAATATTTCATGCGAAATAAAATGTCAAATGACTTGAGTTCCCACAATTATACGGTAGAAAGCTCACTTGGGATAGTGAGACGACAAATGGTGAACACTTTTTCCCCATTTAAAAGTGCCTACATAACGCATCTAAGAAGAAGCCCTCCTTCAAGAAGGTTCGTTTTAACGAAGAAAAAATAACCTTCATAGAAGTAATCAAAGGTAATCATTGGCCTAACCGCTAAAATAAATAACACTGCAAGTTTACCTTAAGGACATGATATTTAGGTCGATCCCTCACTCGCTTCTCGAGGCAATGAGAAACAAAATCGCGGAACTCGGGCGAAAAATCATCTTCACTGCTGCCTTCAATTTTTACAGCTAACGGCACTGCCTTTCTCTGTCGTAGCACAAGCTGGTCAGCACTCGTAGCCTGATCGCACAATTCATTCAACACAGATACGATCGGATATTCACGAGAGCATGTAATTGTTCCAGTATTCAACTGATCAAGGTTACTCATTGGAGCGGGAGCGACGACTCCAATTGGCGATGCCGCATCAATCAGTGTCGCCGTCGACGGGGAGGTGGGCAAACTCTGCATAGAGCCCGAAGTAGCCGAGTAATCGGCAGATCGAGCCCAAGGGTCAGCTAGTGCCGCTGATATAGACGGTGCCGGTGTTGGTGAGGAGGGTGGTGGTAATAATGAAAGTCGAAGCGGTAAAGTAGGGGCCGGATCGCTGAGCACACAGGCCAACTGCTGAAAAACGGAACTCCAAGCAGGATAGGGAAAACGACCGGTAGCAAGTTCCACAAGACTAATACCCAGACTCCATACATCAGAGCGGATGTCATAACCGTTCACACTCCACTTTGGATGGATGCGTTCAGGCTAAAGAGTAAAGTCAAAGCATAAAGACGCCGTATGAAGAGCAAATGAAATTATAATGAATGGATATCAAGGAAGAAGTGTAGGAAAACAAAGAAAATTATCTTAAGAAATAGTGACTATATGAAGTGGGAAATAAAGTATCTATTTGGAGAATAGTAAATAGGATGATGGAAAATGTCAAGACCAAAATGGTGCGGCCTTTGGTATGGTCACAGCCTCCTTTTGATGTTTGTAGCAGTGTTGACCTCGTTTTCGCAACTTTGTCGTGTTGTCATGGCGACTTAGTTGGACACACATTGTCCCAAGTTCTTTGCTATGGTAGTTATCATAATTCCCAGCGTCGGACCATAGACTTACTTATGAGAATATACAAAGTCCACGGTTCGACGCTGGGAATTATAATAACTACTATAGCAGAGAAGGTGCAGCCAACTAAGTCGCCCTGACAACAAAACCAAGTTGCATATAGTAAATCAACCCACTTCAGTAAATAAGATATTTTGAGGAAGAAAAATCAATGTATAAGGTAATTTATAAAGATTATGTATATGAATTGAAGACCAAGATGATATGGTTTTCATTTTATTCTATCGCATTTTGCTGAAAATAAATAATCCTATCTCGTTGATACAGCCTTGTTGCTGTGTCAAGGCAACTTCAAAGAATCTACTTAATATTGTGCCTTCTGCCACAATAGGCAATATTTATTTCAGCATCGGATTGTTGATTGGATATAATACCAGACGTTTCATTGGCATTGTAGTCCATACCGTCGCTGATGCCCGTGAAAAGTTTGGGAATGTATCTAGTAGATAATCCGATGTTGGAATAAATCATGATACCTATGGAAAAGAAGAGAATGAGACATGCCCTTCGAAGTAGCCTTGACACCACGACCAGGTTGAGTGTCTCTAAATTGGGGTGAATTGATGCTGAACTCAATTTTTTTCTCCAAGTATTCTTAGTTGAGCTGAATATGATGAGGAAAAACTATGGATGTTTCGAAACTCCTCTATCCAAGATGGATTGCAGATTCAGCTCTGTTAAGACTCATCAAAGTACCCAGTACGATTCGAAACAGAGAGGAGCATATCAAAGGCAGACAATGGCCAAGCATCAGTAAAAAACAGTGAATGTGAAAAGAGTACGAGTTGCTGCGAGTTGCAGGTATAGCTAAACTCTTAGACATCCCAAATCAACGATGTGTTGGAGCAAAATTCTGTAGTGGATGCGGAGTGTAGCAATGAAGTAGAGCGTGATGAGCAGTGCGCCGGCAAACACATTCATCCTGAGAAAAAAGGAAGTGCGGAGCTAGGAGTTCATCTCACTAAACACTTTGCGAGATGGGAACGTAAGCTTCTGATTGATGTTGCGCGGTTGACTAGGCTTTATATAAAGCCGAGTCTGATGAAGCCAACGGTAAACTCAACTCCGACCACCAAAGAAAATGCGAGTCAAAGGCCTGTAAATGGTGACTGAGACGTGTGTATCTAGTGGACTTTAGTTGAGAGAAGATTAGGTAAAATGGCCTGCTTCATGAGATATTAGAATAAGAGGCAAAATGACAATGAGAGCAACTAAAAGTCAGAAATATGAAAGATTTTGCGCCGCAAAACAAAGCCAAACCGATGCTTGAAAAAAAGGAACTGAGTGATTAGATAACTTTTCGTGGTATTGCGAAAAAGAACAAAATGCTCGCCCTATAGGGTCTTATCTTGGTTCAACAACGGGAATAAAAGACATGATACTTCATGTATTCATATTGAATAAGTTAAACTCATAAAAAGTTAGTGTATATCGAACTATGGTATGCATTCAGCTATTTGTCTTTTTACTTTAAATGTGAACGTTTGGCTATAAGATGCAGTGGGATTTTACGCCGGATATAGTAAACATTCATCCCTGGGGGTTCTCATATCTAAGCTTTTATAACCCTAGTGAGGTAGGATTGCTAGTGGCTAGAGAACATGTATACTTATTGCATGAGTATAAAGGGGTAACCAATAGGTAAATTTAAAAAATGAGTCACTTAATTAGAAAAACTATTTTGCATATTAACTGGCCAAATATGCATTTCAAGAGGATTAATGTGAATTGTATGCAATATACTATTTCAGACAATGACGGTCGACCGATATTTATATGGCCAAAAAATTTTTTTAACAAAAATTAATAAAGCATGAGAATCAATGAAAAATAAAATTTGTCTGCATGTACATAGCTACACAAAATATGTACCTCAAAAGCCTGTTCTAAAGCCTCACTGCATACAAGCCATTTGATATTATGGCAATGTATCCGTCTTTGCACAGTCTTTTATTGACCTATAATCCAGCTGGTGGTGACAATGATGTCTAGTTGGGGTCGAGACTGCGCCCTAATTTAGGCAACGAAGCCTACTTAAGAATAGGTGGTATGTGGATTCAAAGTGCAAGGAAAAATTATAGTAGTGATTTCTTTCTATTTATGATAAAAATTCATTAAAATAAGCTCGGCAAGAAATAACTTCGAAAGGCCAAAGTGGTGAACATTTCAAGAAAATATAAGCTCCCTCGGATGGAATAAATTGAGAGAACTAGAATTCGCATGAGAATGTCAATTTGTTGATGGATTTGAAGTAAGTTAAAAATATAAGTGACGCTACTAAGGACAAGTTGTCTCTATGAGGCCTTCACGTGACACAGGAACAGTAATATCCCTAAGACAAAATGTTACGAGACATCGACACATAAAGTAGTAATGCCGAAAAAGCAGGTCAAAGAAACAAGAGTGTTTAAGTTACTGTGTATTACAGTTATAAGAATGTAAATAATTGTAACGTTGTTAGCCTCCGCAATGATACAAAGCAAAAAACATATAGCTCACGGCCATATATGGTTTACAGCCAGCATCGCGCGAACGGGCAATACTGTCTACTAGCTGACCAGATATACCGAAATCGCACAATTTGATATTGCCTTTGCGATCGATGAGGATGTTAGATGGCTTCACATCTAAGAGAATAAAAGCAACATAACGATGCAGATAATTGAAATAAGGAATCATAAGTAATAAACCTTCCTCCAAGAATATCCCGAAAATAAAATAAATTGAAATGAATCCTTACTGTACTTATCAAAAAGCCCGATATTTATATACCTACATATATAACAAGTGCAAATAAGCTTTAAGACAAATCACTAGTTTCGCACACCAAAAAATATATTTCTCTTGTTACCAAGATATATTATAACAATCATAAGCCGCACTGTAATAGCTTCAAAAATTGTAAGATTGCATGAAATAATTACACATTTAAATAAATGACACAAAAAACTAGAATGAGCGCCATTTTATTGCAAATAAGCCAAATTCTGTTGAATACGGCAAATGCTACACCTTTCACACACAAATAAAAAAATAGTCTGAGATAGACATTCATTACAAGGAAACTAACGTACTAAATTAATAAAACAGCGAATTCTGAACTAATATACATATATTGTCAAACAATTGAAGAGATTTTAAGCCTTTAAGAGCGAAACCAGGCATAAGCGTGCTTTCATATTAAAAACATGACTGAATAAACCTTTATAAATAAAATAAAAGCTAATTAGAATTGAGAATCGAGTTAATAAGTATAACATAAAGAATGAAGCCTAATTGCGAAAAAAAATTACCAACCTCTGTGAATGACCTTAAGTTCGGTCTTGAGATAATCTAAGGCTGATACCATCTATTAGACAACAGGGTTAGTTAATGCAGAAGCTAAAAGC